AATATAGTTTTACGATGTATGCAGCTATACATTGTTGCTAATTCATGTAGATTATTATTCATATAGTAAATAGTTGTACAAATTATGTTTTAAATAGAACAGTAGAAATTCTATCAAATAAGAAAATTACTAACATATTATTAATTCGAGTCTTATACTCAGCACTCATTATCATATACGAATAAATTATAATACGTAATATGTATTAATAAATATAATGTAGGTATATAACTAAAATATACTAATCAATAATCAATAATAGACGAGGTGCCAACTATATAATTAATCTAATATTTAGTCCGGCTTTCGGTTATGTCAATTCGGTCAAGGTGACTTGCAGCGCTATCTAGTAGAATTTTTAAATATGGTTCAATTATAGAGTATAAGGTATACAATACATATTTTCATTATGACGATTTTATCTCGAAAATTAAAACTATGTCAATTAAATTCGTTCTGTTTTTAATTCTGTATGTTATGTTAATATTTTTACACTGTGTTATTAGTTACAACTTACAATATATACGAATCGGGAAAATTGTTTGAACGGAAATGTATTTGTCAATAAAATATTTATTTGGAATACAATTTTGTTAAGGAAGTTAAACTAGGAATGCCGTTAATTGACGATGAACACTGACCAATGACCAGTATTCGTTACGGTCGCTATGTGATAACAGCGCCTGCGAACTGAACTATCCATATAAATGAACTTATTAAACCGTTCAGTAAAACCAACAGATCGCTCTCTACATTCAAAAACGCCTCGAAATCATGTACATTATATTGCCAGTTAAACTCCTGAAAGTGTCATTGTTATTACTAAATTAACGTTTTCAGGCGTACCTAGTATGTTCAAATTTTTTTTAAGCACATAATACTGTAATAGGTTTATTCTTAACTGATTTGCACCGATATAATAACGGTATATTCGTTTTTTGAAAAATATTGTTCAATCCATATATTTTTTAATATATGACGGATCCTCAGTGTGAATATTAATCAAAATTAATAACTATGCTAATGGGAATGTGATGTCTAGGGCAGTAGGACACGACCGATACGATTCTAAAAATAATCAAACTATCGTTTCGACTATACATTCAATAATGTCAATAAGTCATTTTAACAATATTGATGTCATAGGCGTGATTGCGGGGTAGCGAGGGGTAGCAACTGCTACCCCACTATTTTTACGGGGTCGCAAATGAAATGCTACGCTACCCTATGTGTAATTTTCTTGATTTTTCTATAATATGACCACGCTAATGTAAAACTTACACTACCGCCTACACTGAATTTGAACGTTACATATGTAATAATACGTAATAACCAATCAAATTTAAAACTTTAAATATTTCTATATCTTTAATATAGTTGCTTGCTATTGTATTTCATCAAACTGTATTATACATTAATTATCGTTACCCACATTGTATATGTCTGAGTTAGTTTAATAAGTCCAAAATTGTAAACAAAAAGTTAAATTTAAATTATTATTTGAATGTAATATTATAAATTGTGAACTCATTCTTATTATAATAATCTATGTAATTGGGCCTGGCCCGTTTAAAATTTAAATAAATAAATAAATATAATTTAGAAAAAAAAAAAAAAAAAAAATTTAAAAAAAAAAAAAAAAAAAAAAAAACATTATTGTAATTCGTTCATTTTCGCGTCAAGTCAATTTTCCAGTATGTCCGACGAGGAGAATTACGAGTGTTACATGGAGAATGCATCGTCCACCATCAACGTGCTGGTAGCAAAGTTTGTATACTCATAATTAACGGCATCCGCATATAATTCTTTATGTCCCTAAATCCATCCGCTGTGTCATCGGTTCTCCTATGACATATTACCTTATCAACTATAGCTGAGGTGGCGTGATGCATTGGTTATCATAATTTGTAAACGTAATACTTGTACTTACATCTATTATTATGCTGTATATTTTTGATATCATTTGTAGTTCCGCCACGTACATCGAATACGATATTTTTTATTTTATTGTTTTACGGTGTCATCAGGTCCTGACTTACGCTTGTGCACGGGATGCACAAGCACAAAGCCCCCATATTCGGAGGGCCCCTTCCCACTTTATAAAAAAAAAAATAGTACATTTTTATATTTTATAGTATACTTTATATATTTAGTAGATATAAGATTAACAAATGTCTAATAAGCAATTATTAAATTTTTCATCAGAATGTTAGCATTTTTTAATTTAATTATATTATCTATTTATTATATAATGCATTTTAACGTATTAAAACTCGAATACATTTTTCTTTAACACGTTTGCTGCGTATCATATTTTAGTAGCACTTACCGCGGTGCGTACATGATGAGGTAATTAGGGAATATTATTAAATCGTAGGTACACAGAAAACAAATGGTTATTTTTAGAAACAGTTTGCAAAATTATATTTAACAATGTTCGTAGACAACTATGACGTAAAATTAAAGCACAGGTTCTAACGCTGACCGAAATATGAGCACATTAAAATATACCAGATATGACGCCAATCACACATGGATAGTGACGCTATTGACGCCAATTGGCGTTGTACGCAGCGAACCTGTTAAATAAGGGAATACTGGATATATTTTATATTGTTTCGCCCGTTTCGGGCAAAAAATTGTTTAAAAAACATTATTGTTAAACTTGCAAAAAAAAAAAAAAAACTTATAGAAATTAACTTTTTAAAAAAAATTGTGATTTACAGATATAAATTTTACATAATTTAAGGCATTTGATATAATCCACATTTTAAATATATATTTATTTATGTAAATGGAATGTATTGGTTTTACAAAGATGTTTATTATTTTTTTTGTTTTTTTGATGTGAATACTTTTTCTATCAGAAAATTTACTCCGATTATAAAGTATAGCAAATATTTCTAAAACGAAATTTCACTGGGGAGGTACTTTAAAAAGGTAGTTTTTCGATTTTCTCCAAAGTTTTCTCTACAAATGTGAAAAACCGAAAAACACGAAGAAAAATTGGGAAACACATAGGAAAAACGGGATCCACTTTAATTTTGGAATTTGAATAATTGGAATTTTGACACAATATATTTGATAGTGTAGTAGTACACCTAAGTATAATTTGTTAGTACAAGTATATTATTTATGTCCAAAGGGCTCGTATAAATTAATAAACAATTAGGTAAATACTTAATAGGTAGTCTATAATCAAGAGGATTAGTGTGAGTTAAGTATTTATGAATATGCAAAGTATTTAGCCTCGATACAAACCTAATTTAACCACTAACCCACCATCGGTTACTTTGTTTCCCTCAGGTTAACTTTGCTCCCACAAAAAAAAAAAAGAATTTAGTGATAACGTTTAACATTGGAAATGGAGATAAATCAATTTTAGTTTGTGCGCTCGAGATAGCATCGTTATAACAATTTGTATTTTCTACCGCCATACATTTAGTGGCAGGTTTATCTGCTATCAGTGCGTCATCAAATGCGACACCGTAGACAATTTATGCTGTTAAACATTTCTTTGTGGAGTGTAGAACTTGTGGATTTTAAGGGAAGATATAACTTATTCGCGTTAGAAATTTAGCGGCCAAAACGATGTTGTATGAAGATTTGTGGTTAAACAGTTTTTGAATAATTTAAAAGCAAATTTCACGATTGGGGTAACAGTGCACCACTAAAACGGGATATCTTTTTCGCCACTATTTTATTATTGTGTTTTGGATCAAAGTTTCCTCACCATTTATTATTTTCCATTTTGGATTAAATAACAGTTGGTTTTTCTTAATAATAATCCTGGATGGGCTATTTTAATAATTATTAATTAATTCTAATCAAATTAAAATAATAATAAAATGATTTTAACAAGATTTAATGATTTTTTTTGTTTATCATTCTTTTTTGGACCTATTCTTGCCAATAAAATACATTTTGAGTAAAAATAATTTGTTCTATGTGTTAATCTTAGTTCTTAATGGTGCTGGTTTTTTTTTTATAGATCTGGTTACATTGCCTCAGTCACAAAATGATTAAACTATTTTATAAGACTTTTCTTGATGTGGTGCAAAGTATGCAGACCCTAAGGGTAACATTGCTCCATTTTTTAAAAAATAAAAATAAAGTAATTGGGTATACCTATTCATTTTTAACAAGCTCGTGGGAACTCTAAAGAATCGCACAGTTTTTTTTTTTTATATGATACATCTAAAATGATAAAATAAAAAAAACTAGAAATATCGGAGCAAAGTAACTCCAAACGACAGTACGTTAAATGTTTATAGTAGGTACACGTGAGTAGGTATACGTGTCGATATTTTTAAAATTGTTTTTCAGCAGGTACCTGTATAGGTCATTGAATTGGATTCGTTGTAGGAAACGTGTCCATTTAAATAATAACGCAACAGAGTTCCAGGCTTCATAACAATATTTTTTATTATTAGGTACTAATTATTTCCCGTTTCCGGTCGGGCGGCCTTCCGTACTCTTGGCGTTTGATGCGCGTGTAACTTATACACGTACACGGAATACGCTGTTCGCGTGGTCCAATAATAAAAGTGCACGCTGATAATTTTTGCATTTGAATAACCTTTCAAAAACGCAGTTTACTTACGCCGGAACAACGAATAATTAACGGGACCACCGAGATTTTTGCGAATTAACAGGACGTGTTTACATTTCGAATTGATAGCGGAATAAAATGGACCAATGAGAGCACAACACGGTGCCTGGCGGCGTGACGATGGTCGCGTTTGGTGCGCTGCGGCTGTCCATTGTCGAAATCGATTGTCCGCCGCTCGAATCTCTAGGTGCTTGGGCTGGTGCTTGCAAATACTGTAAACAATATGAGCGTAAAAATGTCATTCACAGCGTTTGGCGTTTTTGCATTAGTCGCGCACATGTTGCGGTTTGGTCATCTGCAAATCGGTTACACCACCGACCAATCGCCGAACGCGTCCGCATCTCGAATCCTGTTATCACTGTGAACCGCTATCAGTTGTATTTAGCGGCGATTTAGTCGTCCTCGCAACCGCCTCCGTTCGCTACGAATTCGTTCGGTGCCGTCCGCGTACTCGAATCATCATTCACACGTATCGCCTGTTCCCAGTGTAGGATGTTTATGGTTTTCTTCGGGCTCTCCCTCACAAGGTACGTCAGAGACGTTTGAAAGAGACTGTGACTTTTGCCAGTCGCCGAGATGGATACGTGGCACAAGATGCAGTTGAAGCTCTACTCCACTTGTCTGTTCTTTTTGGCCTTGGACTATTCGGGCTTCGTTATGGGTGGTGAGTTGTGGTGTTTTGGTGGACGCCAGCCGCTGTTTCTGGAGGCTGCAGTCGCCTCTTTTGCAAACCTTTTTCCATTTATTCAGTAGCTATATTTTCCCAGCAGGTTCCGAAGTCGAAAACCATTTGGAAATGGGTCGTGATTTTCTGGCCCGAGGACAACTCCAAGACGCTTTGTCTCATTATCATGCAGCAGTCGGTAAGTCAATGTTTTCTTCAACACCGACAAAAAAAAATTTTTGTGATTAATCTATTTTACTAAACAGTAAACATCAGCTCTCTAGTATATCAAATGTTTTTGTGATAAGTACCTATTGCATTTCCAATACTTTGTAGTTTCAAGTAAACGATTATTCAAATAATTATTTGATATTAACTATCTACCTACTTGCTGATATCTCATTCCATATGATTGACAAGTCATGTATTTTTTTTGTAACAGTAAATTCAACATATTACCTTAATTTTTTATACATATATATATATTATTTATATCGCAAGTATAATTGTAGTGATTTTATTTATTCCAGTGTTAATATGATGGACATTTGTTTATTAATTGTTTGAACAAGGCTGTGATTATTACTTGGTTTAGATATTTTATAATAATAACAAAAAAACAAAATATGCTTTGTATTAGATACGTAACAATGTAAAATTATATTTTACAGAGGGTGATCCAGATAATTATTTAACATATTTTAAAAGAGGAACAGTTTATTTAGCTCTTGGTAAAGCTAAATTTGCATTAATCGATTTTGGCAAAGTTCTTGAACTTAAACCAGATTTTACCGCTGTAAGTAGTATTTTTATTACCCATATTAAAAAACGATTGGTTAGTGTTATTTTATTTTTATTTATCTATTAGGCACGTTATCAACGTGGTGTAGTCCTCATGAAACAGGCTTCTATTGAAGATGCAAGGAAAGAATTGTACAATGTTGTAAGTAAATGTTAATTTATTACTGTGTGTGTTTGCCCATAATTTAATTATAAACTATAATGATATTTATGTATGTGATTTTTCAGTACCTTGCCAATGGCGATTTCTCACAAGAAGCACACGATTTATATTCAAAACTAGACGGTCTTGCTTACGATATACAATTAGTAACATACTACGAAGAAAATAAAGACTTTGAAAGTGCTATAAATTCCCTGGACCGTCTAATAGAACACTGTCCTTGGGCACCTTCATTACGCGAACAACGGTCTCAGTTACACATAAATTCTGGAAATTTGCAACACGCTATAATGGATTTGCGAACAGCCACTAAACTTCAAGCTGATGATACGGATGGCCATTACAAGTTATCAAAACTCTATTATAGTATAGGAGACGTATCTGAATCTTTAAAGTAAATACTAACTATTTCAAATACAATTTTGTGTTCATGCCTTATTAAATTACCATGTTCATATTGTTTCACAGAGGAATTCGAGAGTGTTTGAAATTAGATCCAGATCATAAATTATGTCATACACATTATAAGCTAGTGAAAAAAATTGAACGGCTAGTAGTAGATAGTCAGTCAGCACTCAACATTAAAGATTTTCCCAGTTGTATTCAATTCTCTAAAAAGGTAAACCATATTTTGATTCAATTATATTATATTATAATTATATTTGATCTAAGAATAGAACAGAATAGCACTGTCTGGTGATTTAAATTTTGTAATTTCATTTTCAAATCCAATTGTTATAGCATTCAATTTATTGCTAAATTTATACATATTTGCGTAGCCTATTATCGGATGATATAGATTTTTTTAATATCACGTTATGGTCAATGACAATCATATTTATTTGTAAATTACTAGGCTCACTTCATTTTGCATTCATTATTAAACTTGAAGTATGGACCTATATACATAACCATTGAATTAACATATTATCTAACTATTGATCAATGATCTGAAAATATAATAAATATTAATACTGAATAATTAAACTTTGTTGACATTGCTGTTTTTATATCTGAACAAATGGTGGATAATTTATATTATTTGTAAACTAAGTTTCTAAAATGCTTTTTATGTTTGATTTTGTTTTGTAATGATTAAAATATTAAACATTTAATAATACATTCATTAAAATGTAAATCAAATATTAATTCTACATATGGTTTACCATGAATTAAATTTGAAAATGTGTAAAAATTAAAATATTTTGTTTCAATTTTTAACTAAACTAAAATGGAACAGACGTATATTATATTTAATTGGGTTCTGTACATTTATCTGTGTATTATTTAAATTAGCAATGTATAATATATATTTAACAACTTTTAGAAAATAATCATTTATTTGCTCCTAGTTAGAGATGTTACAAACCCTGATTTTTAAAGTTTTTAAACCAAATTTTTTAGTAAAATTAATGAACCCGAACCAAACTGAACTTACACCTACACATTTTTATTTAAACTTGAACCTAATCCAACTTATAATATATTTTATCAAATTCAAACATTAAAAAAATAAAAAGTTAGGTTGCTTAGGTCAAAAACCTAGGTTCTCAAACTGGTCGACTCTGTGATTTACGATTATGAGACCCACTAATGTGAAAAAAATAGAACTTTTCTTTTTTGTAACAAGGCCACTCTAACCCAACATAGAACATTGTATTGGTTAGAATAGAATTAACATCATAGAATTGACATAAAATGATATTTGAACTGAACTATTGGGTATTTGGATCGGTTCGATTATTTTCAATTTTCAGTTTGATTTTCGATCCGAACTGAACACCTCGATCTTTGTTCGGTTTGTTTTCGAAAATAAAAACAGTTCATCACATCTCTACTCCTAGTACAATAATTTATTTGTATAGTATATCTATTTTGAGCAATACTTTTAATAATCATTTGTTATATAGCTTGCTTTTTTTTTCAATTATAGGCATTAGACTTGGAGAAAAGTACTGAACATGTAAGGTTCTTATCCTTAGAAAAACTTTGTCATTGTTATCAACATACAGATGAACCTGCAATGTCGTTGAAATACTGTAGTGATGCTTTAGACATATCTAAAACGGCTGATCTCTACTGTATGAGAGCTGAGGCATACATTGCTAACTCAATGTTTGAAGAAGGTATGAAATATAAAATAAATTTGAAGCTGTAAAAAATCTGTACCGTGGTATTTTTGATAAAATTTGAATACCAATTATTATTTTTTAACCATTTTTACATGTCTATGATAACTAGGGTCCAGATTTAATTGTATTTTTTTTTCGGTTAATTGACAGTAGTGGCAGATACTTAGTATAGATATTGCTACACCACTGGATTTAAATTAAATTTAAATCCATAAATAGCGCTTAAACATAGCAAAATGTCTTAAAAATATTAAAAAATGCAAAAATAGCAGAGGGGTTTAAAAGTCCCCTTTTTCTTTAACACAGCTTATTTATTAAATACAATTTAATAGTTCTAAAAATTATTAACACAAGGTAATTTTTTAACTTTAAAAATGTACATATTATATAAAAAATATTTTGCTTTATAATTTTTTAATGTTAGACAATTTTATTTAATAAATAGGACTTGTTAGAGGGGAGACTATGCTTTTTTTAATATTTTGTAAGGGCTTTTTTCATGGGGTTTTTTGCATTAATAAAACGCTTTATTGTAGATTTAAAGTGCATTTAAATCTGGACTCTAACGATAAATTACTATTTCAGTTTTAGGTTAGAATAATTGATAGATTGGTAATATTTTAAAGAAAATAGAAATGGTACGTAATTTAGTATCGGTTTAATCACTCAAAATATAAGCTAATTTATAAATAGATCAAATACAATTAATTATAATAGTGAGAGGTCAAGTATTAGGCACTTGTTTGAAGTCTCACATCTTATAAACAAATTTCATTATTAGGCATTAATATTATCATTCAATGAAACCTAGATCATTAAAAACTATTTATACATTTTTTTTTGTATTTTAATCTTATTTCAATTTAGTATAATATTATAAATCACATATCTTTAATCAATAGCGTTTTAGATAAAATTATAATTTCTTCATAGATTATACTCTATTGTGTTGAGATAATACATTTGATATTGTAAGTAGTGTATTTCTTATCAAAATTTGTAAACTTAAAAAACAAAAAATAATAATAGCTAATACGCATTAAATTTAAATACATTACAGTAATTTGTTACTACCAAATAATTAAACATAAGAGTATAAGGGCACACAATTTTTAACCTTGAATATTTTACAATAATTGTGATGACAAATTTTAAATTATGACTTAAATATGCAGTACATGCAGTACTATACATCTGAAAACTCATTATATGTAAATTAAAATCACTTGAGTACTATTTAATTTCACATACCTATAATTTTCTGAAAATATTAATGTTTTATGTATCCATGTTGCATATTAACCAACAGTTTATTATTTTTTAGTATTTGTAGTTCAGATAATAGATTTTTGATGATAAAGAAATAGTTGTTTGGTATTGTTTCATTATTCTGATCTTCTGAACTTTAAGTTCTAAGATATGAAACTCGGAAAATTATGACCAAATTATATAACCAAAATTACATACAAATTTCGAAAAGTGAATAACGTTATTATTGTTTAATTATAATGACTAATTTTTAGAGAGAAAGGGATATTGGATAGGACAGAAATTTAAAGTGGAAAAGTTAAGATCTGTAAATTAAAAATCTATGTTTTAATCACTGAATTTTTGAATTTATAGTATACAAATTTATTAAATGACCTAATAATGTCAAAAGATTATTACTGTATAGTTAACAATATCCTATAAATGCAAATGCATCAAGTTCCGGACACTAATAATAAATACTATGCTGTTTATTGCTTATTTAATATTTGATATTGAAAATCAATTTTCAGATAATTACTTTTGGAAAATAATATTTAAAAATTAAACCATTAATTGGCGATACAGTTTTTGATTAATGGTTTGCTGCATTGTTTGCTACTTGGTCACAATATTGCCAAAATGTCGTGTTTGTTGTAGAGTATTTTTTCATTGGTAAATAGTAATGCAAAGTAAACAAATCTATAAATAAATAAATGAATGCGTCACTTGATAAAGTAAACATGGTTTTTAATTGTTTGCTGTTCCTGACAACCTGGTTTTCAAAAAATGCATTCAGTTATTAAACAATATCACCAAAACAGTTTGTTCACTAAACTAGTAACCAGGTTACTTAAAACTTCATTGCCAAATTATGTTAAATAATAAAAAATATTTAATAAGACTTAAAATTAAAAAAAAAAAAAATACTTTTCAACTTTTGTGGGTACTATATTAAAAATTGTATTTAACCACTATGAATTTTTTAAAAAAACAGATTTTAAAACATTAAAAATAGTTAAAAAGAAAAATGTATTCTTTTGTTTTATTATTTTATGTTAATGTGTTTTTTTAGCAATTAGAGATTTTGAACACGCACTCCAAATCAACCAAGAACATAGACAAGCAAGTGAAGGATTGAAAAAAGCCAAACAATTACAAAAACAAGCAGAAAGAAAAGACTACTATAAAATATTAAATGTAAAAAGAACGGCCACTAAACAAGAAATTATTAAAGCATATAGGTAAGTAATTTATATAATATTATTTATTATTTTAAAAGTATACACGGTTATTATGAAACATTGAATATTTAGAAAAGCAGCTCAACAGTGGCATCCGGATAATTTCCAAGGAGAAGCTAAAAAAAATGCTGAGAAAAGGTTCATCGAAATAGCTTCTGCTAAAGAAGTACTGACTGATCCAGGTGATAAAATTAATACCATTAGTTTCTTTAACAGTTTAATAATTAATTATCTTTGGTTTGTTTGTAATCAGAAAAGCGTGAACAATTTGATCGTGGAATTGATCCACTAGATCCAGAATCAGGACGTCACCAACAAGATGGTTTCAATCCGTTTCAACAGTTTCATCAATTCCATGGAAGTCCATTTACATTCAAGTTTAACTTTAACTAATTTATATGGTGTATAAATTGTGCCATAGAAAGTTAAGTTTTCGCCCTATTATCAAGGGCTCAAAGGCTGTGTGTGCTAAAATGTAAATAAACTAATGCATAATGAAAGTCGTAAATTAATTTATTGTAAATAGTAATAACTTCCAAATATTATTTTGTAACACGGTAACTCGATGCAATGTGATTAATTCACGCATTTTATTATATGGTTAACATCTTCCCACGCTATTTAAAAACACCAACATAATTATTATTAAATTCAATCGTACAATAGAAACAACTAATTACAATTAAAATTTAATTTAGAATTAATTATCTCTGTGTTTTTAGTTTCATTTTTTTTTATTATTGGTCAACAGACCTTATTGTGTATATTGTAAAATTTGTTTACAATTGATTAAAAAAAAAAAAAAAATAAAAAAAACAATTTATGTTATACAATAAAATAATTTTTACTTTACGATGTTTTTTTCTTTTATTGTTATTTTTCAAACTGTCTTAATGCTATTGAATTCATGTAAAGTTTAATCTTTCTTGTTCAGTTAATATCTACATTGTCTATTGAAAACTGGTAATTTATATTAATACCCATAATTTTAATGCTACGTTTGTGACTTGTTGTGTTGTATAGTTGCTCAAAAATTGTATTGTTAATACTCATAGTTTAATATAAAACTTTAATCATATAACAATGAGACGTTTATTCACTATGCGTGTGACATTCGATAACTGTTTTAATTTGTACGAACGAGAGCATCTGTATGTGATCTATAATGTATAATTATTTTTATATACGATTGATTTACATTGAAGTTTTATTATACGACGCAAGAACTTGCACAAATTAAGCTGGAACTGGTCGATTTGTCATGCTCACAGTTTCCAATATAATGACAATCTTTATTTGGTGTACTAATTCAGTTTTAATTGAAGTAGTAGTGTGTAGTAAGGAATGTATTGGCATTATAATGATGCAATGAGCAATTTTTAATACCATAAATCAAATGTCAATCATCAACTTCAGGGGTGGTAAATTTTGGCCAATTGGTGCATTGAGGAGGTCTTATTTTGATGTTCCTTGTAGATTTTTAATAATCAGGAAAACAGAACATTTACGTAATGAAGGAATGTTATTTTCAAATATAATATGCAAAATCATGTAAAGTAAATGAAAATTCAGCAAATTTGTCCATTGTTTTATAGGTAAAGCGTAAGAAATTTCATTCAGATTAGAATAAAACTATAAATTTGTATAAAATGTATAAACATCTAAACCAGTAGTTTTTTTTTTTTTTTTTAGACTTTTGGTAGTCAACTTTTGAAATTCAAATTAGGAAACCTATTCAAAATACCATACATAGATGCAGTAGTTATTAAAATAAATGTTGGTGTTGTAATTTCTGATTTCCGTCAACCCGTTGACGAGATATTCTATTTTTTAGTTTAGGTAAGAGGAGAGTAGTGGAACACCATGTACTTGTGTGATGGCACGGCACGTTGGCTTGGCGTTTAAAAGACTGTAAAAAACGAAAACGAACCATTTTAGTTGTTTAGAAATCGAAAAAACTTGTATTATACATTTTTCTCTATTTTGTATATTTATAGGAGAAAATTGCTGCGACATAAAATTTTGATCATCTGTATATAAAATATATAGGTATATTGAAAATTAATTTTTTTTTATCGTGTTCAAATTTTCGCTCTACTTTCTGACCCATTCAACCCTTTAGTTTTAGATTTACTCAACTAATCTCTTCAATTGTATATTTTTGTGCAACGATTTATGTTGCTTTAGATATTTCCTAAAAATATACGTATCCTATCGGTTTTATCCAACTTTTTATAAATTTAAGCAACGCTCTTTTGAATTCGAATATTTTAGGTCAGTAATGATACTCTCACTAGGAAACCGTAATAAATTTGTACGAGTTTAAAAGCCACGGCTATATAAAAAGGACAATATTATTTTATTCGACAAGTCGAACATTTCAGATTCTGAGCTGGACGAGGAATGTTTTGGCTTTACAAAAATGTTTATTTTTTCTCTCTTTTTCTACCACGAATCTTACCCCGATGTATGCGATGTAGACCTTTTTCTGAAAGGTCATTTTCTTGGGATGGTACTTTGGGGAGGTCGTTTTTCGATTTTCTCAAGAGTTCTCCAGCAAAACCGTGGAAAAATATTGGAAAATCGGTACAACATTAAACGAATATTATTAAAGAAAATATATATTGCTTATTTAATTATTTTAGGTACCATAATATGACATATAAATATAGTTGACAAAGCATCAATACCAATTGAACCTCGCCCAGAATCGTTTTTTCCTTAGCAATGGCTTATCGTTGCTTACAGATATACATTAAATTCCCTACTGTATCCTACCTTCACAACTTCCCACCTACAACAGTGGCTGCATTAACGTGCGAAGCGTGTCCGCCTTTTTTTTGTTTATCCGTGAACAATTTTCCTACCAGCAATTATGGTCCGGTTTTCAATTTCAGCACTTTATCTAAAAGGAAATCCGCCCGGGACGGTACTTTAGCGAGGTATTTGTTTTTTGATTTTCCCAGCGAATGGGAAATATCGGGAAAATTTACGAAACGCGTTTTGCTTTTTCTTTTTCCTAGGGCAGCGGATCGAAACGTACGATTTCAAAACACAACTACTGCGAAACAGTAAATACCCGCGGCGGTAGGAGGGACGTGACGCCCGACACGGGGACGGATCCACGGGGGGGAGGGCCTAGGAGCCCAGGCCCCCTCCCCACTCCGGACGTGTTATCTCAACGATTTTCGTACGAGAAAATAACACGCGCAATGTTTAATTTTCAATCGTGCCGAGCACGCCGACCGTGCCCACGGAATCGCGTTGCGTTCCGCGGTGACGGGTAACGACGTCGGCGCGTGTTGTTGTTGCGCTTTTCACTCGCAACGGCGCACATTAGCGGCGGATTCGGAGTACAATCGTGTTTTGCGTTTCGTATGCCCGGGGAAAAGAAATACGGACGGGTGCGCGCCGCGACCGGGTTGTCCGCGGCGGGCGTGCGGCTGTCCGTCGCCGTCTTATTATTTATAATTGTTTCAATTGGTCCCCCTTGGCTCCCACCTCCTCCCCCCCCTATCCGAAAATATTAACATAAATAATTCGAAATATTGTTGCCGGGCGCGACCGCGAACGCGCGTCTTCGGCGTCGCGAAAACCGTTGCGCGTGTCGAATCGCAAAACGTTCCGCGCGGGTCCCGTCGTTTTCGGCCGTTTCGGCGACGGCGGGCGAATCACGCGCGTCGATTTCGCACGCGGTCGCCGCGACGCGCTGTCGTTGTACCGAAACCGGACGATAATGACAAATATTGTTCGAGCGGCGCGTAAATGTGCGCGCGATGGGCGGCGTCGTGAAGAATTTCCGGGCGGACCGGCGGCGAGAACCGAAAACCGTTTTTGACTGACGCGCGTTGTCCGCCCGCACGCGCGTCCGCTGTTCGTCCGCTTGCGGAGTGGCGATGGTGGGGTGGGGGGGGCGCGTTCCTAAACGACGGCCGCCGACGCGGACAATAACGCGCAATCAAATCTCCGCGGTTTTTTTTTTTTCTTTTCTGACGCGTTCGGGTCGAAACTGAACGCCGGAGACCAGCGGCGCGGCCCCGCACAATCTTCGGACACCGATTTTTCCCCTTTTTTCTAAATGGAAATCTGACTGGGACGGTACTTTAAGGAGGTCTGTTCAAGAGGTTTGATTTTTCGATTCTCCCCCCCAAAAAAAACCCTAAAATGCAGGGAAACCGGCAAAGTCAGTACAACATTAAACAAATATTATTAAAAGAAATACAAAATGCCTATTTAATAATTTTACCGCAATATGACATAAATATATTGTTGACAAAGCATCATAATCAATTGAACTCTGCTCGGAATCGATTTTTCGCCGTTAGCAATGGTTTATCGTTGGTTGAACATCCGTTACCTACAGATGTATATATAATTCTCTCGTGTATCCTGTCTTCCCAACTTTTTTATTTTATTATTTTAGCTATCGTTTTTTTTTTCTTTCATTAATGGCTTTTGTTTTAGGTTTTTAGAATAATAATTCTTATAGTTTTACTACGGATTTTGACCGGCCCGTTTGAAATAGAACCAGGCCCGTAGCCAGACCAAACCATCAAAAGGACATTTAAAAAAAAAATAATAATATTAACTATATGTACACACTGCACACTTTGTTGGCGGGCAACGATTAGGTCCAGGGGGGGGGGCTAATTCTCCTCCCTACGCCGTGGCTACGGGCTTCAATAGAACACGTCTAAATTCTTACGTTGTAAATGCGTATGATTAGGTTAGGACAAAGACAGAAATTTACCGTTTTCAATCCCCATTAAAGGAAATCTTGTGTTTCATTTTTTTTTTTTTTAGATTTTGAGTGTAGCGAATAAAAAGCTAGGTGTAATAGGGTCAATCAATAAAGGAAAAAATCTCGATTTTGTTTATTATTTTTTTTTTTAAATTAAAAGCTTATTTAGAATGTGTAATTTACCAGACTTAAATTCTCTACTGATTCGACCGGAAATTTTTTTTAAAAAAAGCTCTTTGAAGTTAAACTATTTAGTTTTTTACTAATATTTTAAAATCGTTTGCTTAAATCAAGAACAAACGTTTTCAACAAACAGTGCTTACAACCTATATAATTTGGTACAAAAACAGTCTTTCAGGTTTTATTGTTTTTAAGTATAACTGATTTGAACTGATTTTATTAAAATAATAAAAACGTAATAAATATAAACGGTTGCCAATGATAACCTTATTTTTAGTCTTTAGACCTTTTTAATCTAAAGAACCAGGTTTTTTTCATTATCATGAATATAATGATAATTTCAAAAAATTACCTCCCTAAATATCACCCCGCAGAGAACATTTCTTTTCAGAAAAGGTAATATATTTGATAATCAGAGTAAGCCTTCTGGAAGAAATATTGTTCACATAAAAAATAATAATAATAATAGATACCAGTGTAAAACCGATACATTCCATGCTCTGCTCAGAATCAAAATCTTATTATTTTCAACTTTATTCTACTCTGAAAAATCTTGCTTCGAATTCGGAGGGTAACATATTTTCTGAAAGAAAGTGTTGTTTTATTTGTATGGGAGAAATTGGTTTTTTGATTTTTAGTATAATTTACTTAATAATTGGGAAAAATCAGGAAAGGTTACGGAAATAACGGTATCTATTATTATTTACGATTTTGTCTTTTCGCTCAATTAAATATAATCGTAGAGACTTGACATTTTCTAGACTATTAAAATGTTCAAAACATTCTGGTGATTTTTGAGTTATTTA